GCATAAGGGCTAAAGTAATTTCACAGTGACAAAACAATACTAACATTGCACAAGCATTATTTAGCAATTATCTTTTTACACATAAACTTTGGGGAGCTCTACTGGCTTTTGCCCAAACTTGTAGGTTTTTTTGATGTTAGGGAGCCAACATAGAAAATGTGAACGCCACACAGTACCCATTAGAAAAAAAATCATTATATGCATGGAAAAAGATCTTGGTTTGAAGTAGGCAGTATTTACTTGAGTCAGAAATGTGGTTATTTTATACACTTTATAAACTTTATTATCTATCCCCACAGATAGATAACAGACCAACATACATGGGATTACATAGCAATTTATAGCTTTTTTATGTGTACATACTAACTAAACTGAGTGGGGTGAAAGAATGCTGCATAGAGATCAGCAAAAGAAGATGAAGCTACTACATTAATTTCTCCAGATGTAGACCTTCCTTTCAATACAAGAACAGAGCTCTCTGCTAGGTAGAAAGGCACAGAACTTGCACTCTTGGTTTTGGAAGAAATTACTAAAGACCTATATACCAAGGACCCACATGAGATGGTTTGGAAGGCAATCTAAGAACTGGGGAATGTGAAGATATTTGCTTTTACAAGCCAAATGCATACATGCCTTCAACTAATGCCCTTCTTAAATATGAACATGTGGGAATCCATCCTTAAATACTGTGGCCTAAAGAAAGCCCTAGACTTTCCAGTACTTTCTTTTGAAATTTTTAAAGACTCTCTGATGTTTGGGGAAAGTCAAAGCTGGCAGTGCCTCCAAGCAAGGCATCTCTTGAACTTCTGTGGCTCTGTTAACCAAAAGGATAGAAAAGTTCCTGGCTCCATTTAAGACCCTGGGACAGCCAAGAGACCATGCTATCCAGACAGTCTAATCCAACTAACCCATGTAGGTTTCCTCCTGACACTCTACCCCATGTGTTATATGGAACAAATGCCCAAGGGTGTAGGGATGTACCAGCTTGCCTCTAGTGTCATTCTGGGCCAGTAATCTGATCCTAGATCCAACAAAAGAAGGCTTGGAAAGTGGATTGCTTGCTACCTCTTGATGGAAGGTAATATGAGATTGGATCACTAGATTATTGACCCTACTGATTTGGGGGTGAATCAAATTGTTTATGTAGAAAGGGAGCCATTAAAAGTTGCTTGTCTGGGCCCCTCATGCCTTAGGAATGATTCGACCTCAAATGGTTAATAGTTTTCAAAGGCTTAACAAAGTAACATGTGCCTGAGTGATAGAGCAGAAAACTCCACAATGGCCCAAGCACAGGCTTGCAGATGCGCAGCCACAAGGCAGGCAACAAGGTGACCAGCAATTTATTATGCAATTACCAAATCATGGCACGCAAGTCTTTCCAGCCTGCCCTCTTGCCATGAAAAAAAGTTAGTTTAACTATGCCTTTTTCACACACTTTCTTAGTGAACTACATACTAGAATGAATAATTTCTAGCTTTCTTAGACCAGTATGTCCCATAATAGGTGCTCTTGCCATTGTAAGGACAAGCTACAAGATTCTCTACTTATTGGAATATTCAGTATTGTCTTTTGCCTGATACATAGTAATTACATTTCCTAGGCAATACAATAGCCAAACATTGTATAGCAAAAATTATATTTTCCTTGAGAGACACCAGATAAGAATCACTGGTATCTAATGCTGTAAGGCATTCACATAAACCACAAATTTGAGCCTCATATGTAAATATCACGTTTCTAATAACTGCTTTGGAAAAATGAAAAGAACAATTGAAATGGGTTTAATAATATATTTTACTTAACCAAATATATATCAAATATAATCATTTCAACATGTGATCACTATGAAGTTGTGAATTAAGAAGGCAATTGTTGGTGCAGCATTTTCAAAACCTGAGAGCTTATTTGGCCTGGCCACATGTCAAGTGCTCAGTAGTGGCTAAAGAACCCCACTGATGACTGATAAGAAAGGGACAGATTCTTGTCATGTTAGTAATCACCCTTGGAGTCAAAGAATCTCTTAAGCTTTTTGACTGGGGTCATCCTCTGTAGTTTATTGCCTGGGTTTTTGGAAAGATGAATCTGAAGCTCATTGGGCAGTTGAGTGAGTGCTAGCAAACAGTGGCTTTCACACTGTCTCAGTTAGTTACTTTTTTCTTGTGTCTGCGACAAAGTACCAAACACCCAGAATTAACAAAGGAAAGGTTTATTTAGCTCACAGTTTTTTTTAGATTTCAGTCCATACTCAGTTGGATCTAGGGCAGAATGGCACATGGCAGAAAGCAGCACTTCAGGAGGACCGAAAACAGCAAAGAGCAAAGGCAGGAGCCCCAGCAGCTGCCTCTCTCCTTTCCTTATATTGTAAGCAGGCTACCCTGGAGTGGGGTGTAGAACTCACAGAATGTCCATGCCCTCCTCTTGCACAGAGTGAGGATATTTACGAAGAACACTGGCTCCCTGCTGAATTACTCAATTAAACTTCTAAACTTCTCAAGTTGACACAGTGTATCAAGTAGTACATATGTGTTATCTGGGCTAACAGAGTGTAGGGACTTTTGCTGTTGGTTGAGGATACCATCCTCAAGTGACTTGAGTGCCATTTTAGACTTGGCATTTTTAAGCAAAACACAACCCAATCATATATTACCTCATTTGCCACAAAAACAATTGGATCTCAAAGTAGTAAGCATTTTTTAAATCTTCATATTTTTATTCTTAATAGAAGATAATTCTAATGTGTAGTTTGATTCACAAAATACTCCTACAACTTTCCTTTTGCTTCTGGAGATTTAAGTTTAAAAAGTTTTTTTTTAAATTAAAATGTGTTGCTAAAAGTAATTAAGCTATAATTTAAATTTTCCTTTGTTAAAAAATAAAAAATCCTAATTAATCCAACCACCTGGTAGTTGAAAATACTTCATCATTTACTTAATAGGTCTGTTTCATTAGTCTCCAGTGGAGCCATATGGACTGATGGAGAATTTTATAACTTTGAAGTGAATCATTCATTTCCATTTCAAGAGAATGTTTTATTGTTACTTACATAATTTATGGATATATGGTGAAGCCAGCGTACAGATGAGAATAAAATGAATAAATCTTGCTCACTATTCATAGTAAAATATTTTCATATTTAAAACTGTGATAGTGTGAGAAACTGAAAGAGAAAATGGAATCTGAAAGTTAAAATAGGTACTCAGAAGACAGAATGAGCTTATTCAAAAGGAAAGAGTTACTGAGCTGAGGAGAAGGACAAGGGAGGGAGTGGGGGAAAGAGATATACTATGCGTGTAAGCAGGATGGTTTGGACAACTTTACTATGGATTTTTGCTGGTCTGTGGAAAGGAGCAGATAATGTTTTGTCTCCTTTTTCAATTGTTTCTCCTTTTTCTCCTCTCAATTTCTTATATATTTCTTTTTTTCTTTCTTCCAATTTTTGCATACATATATCTGTTAATATGAATAACTGGTTGCAGGACAACACTGAACACAACAACAAATACTGTGAAATTCCAATACTGTGAATTTTGTTAAGAGAAATTCTGTATCACTTGTAATTTTTGTTTTAGTACTGTTTTATACTCTTTATAAAATAAAAAATGGCAAAAAAAGAAAGCTGTTTCTCAAGAATATTTTCGTCAGTCAGTAAATAGCTTTCCTATTAAGAGCAACAGTGATAATCTTTCATAATAAAAATTTCACCATTAGTTGCACGTATGCATAATGAATACAGTGAGATTTGGTCCTCTAACTCCATATCCCTGAGTTCAATCTTGATAGAAATCAATTAAAAAGAACTTTCTTTTTAATTATTTAGTTCAGTAACAGAATTATCAGCAATGAAATTAACTTATTGATATCAAGATTATAAAAGTAATAGAATTCAGTGTTATAAATTCTTTGCTAAAATGAATTATGAAAAAGTGTAGCAGCAAAATTTGCTATTTCATTCTGATAAAGAACCATAACATTGCCAAGTTTTGCAAATGTTGAATAGAAAGTGTCCATTGCAATGAGTGAAAATTCTCTGCAGTAGGTCTTGTTTACCAATTTATACATTAGTTCACTCAATTCAGTTCATTCCCTTCATTTAGTTTAACTTCATGTTTCGCATAAAGACCAAATATCAATGAAGAAGAACACAGAATCAAGATCTCTGTTGATAACAGGTGACTTATGAGTCAGCTATACATTTAGGGGTCTGGAATTGAGTAATTAAGAATAAAACATTTTCTAGGATGCACGTAAGATGTTTCCTTCCTTTTCATTATATGGCTATATGTACAAATTGCACTTTCTGAACTAATAATGCTGATATTAATTCAAATAATTTTTGACCTGTTAGATAAAAGATCTTGGAAGTCTTATCTTTTTTTCCAAGGTATTTTAAAGTTTAGAGAGAAAAAAACCTTCCCAGAACATAGGAAATTCTTGCATTTATGTTTATGGAAAAGTTTGTAAGAGTTAAGTAGAAGAAGAGAAGAAAGCTCCAGGAGTGGCAGATGAAGAATGTTCGGAAGACAGGAAATGTCTACCATTCTTGAATCTTGGAAATGACAACATACATGAATTCTGTGCAGTGAATTACCATATATGTCACTGTGTGTAAGATATAGCAAATACTTTATGTTAAATAAGCAAACAAATCTAATTCCCTACACAGTTATTCGCTCCTATTTTTAATAAGAAAAGTAGAAAAATTGAACTTGAACTTCAAGAACTGCATATCCAAGGGTTTTTCAGAATGCAAGACACATCTATAATTTTCCACATTCATTATTGAACAATTGCTGGAAACATCAATAGCTACTCATGTATTTTTCATTCTCTTTGTATTTGTTTATTTATGTAACCATGTTATGTTATGTTCATTATGTACGGAGATTTAGGGCAATGCAAAAAATGTAATATTAAACACTTGCTCGAATAAGATTTTAAGACTTTAATTTCAGCACTGATGCAATGTATGTAACTAAATCTGAATATTTACTTCTTCCCAGGAGGCTTCATGGAGACCGAAGCTGCAGCTCAGGAATCTCTGGGGTTAGGCAAACTTGGCACACAAGCCGAGAAGGACAGGAGACTTAAAAAAAAGTAGGTTTGGAGACATTTTTCCTCCTTTTTCTAACTTTTATTTCTTCCTAATCACTGTTTTCAGAGAATTAAGAAGAGAGCAATTAAAAACAAAACAACTAAACAAAACCAGTATTTTCCTGGTATTACAGAAGACAATTAAGTGCTCATGATTCCGACAATAATAAGCTACAGATTAAAATAAGCATAACATTTTTCAGCTTGTGGTAAAATAAAACATTTCTCCTAAGATGGTGTTTATTTCAAAACTCAAGTATATGTTAAGTACTTTAGTTTTAAAAATATGGAATAGCTGTTAGACATTAAATTCAATACTGAAGTGGTACAGCAAGTAGTCCATCTAGCTTTGTGCTTGCTCTTATGATTACTAGCATCTACTTTTATAGTAGCATATTTAAGAGGAGAAACATTTCTCTATCTAAAATTAAACTTATTTTAACTCACAGCAGATTGTTTTGCATCTGTCAGGAAACTGATAGTGTATCTTTTCATTCACATATGATATGGAATATTTAAATGACTTGCAAAATTGGCACATTTTGAGTCTCAGCAGATGTTGGAAAGCAAGCGCGTTCGTCAATAACATATTTTAAGACACATAGTAACATTTTTTTTCACTGATAAAATAGCACCCGTAGAACAGGCTCTTTAAAAACAAAAGCAAAATAATTCCTCAGTTCCACAATCCCCTGGTCAATCACTTCTTTTCTTTTCTCCCAAATATTTATCACATTTTGTTGCAGTTTCTGTTTCCTAAGAACAAAAATTTCGCTATTCACAATTTTGTAACAGACGTTTCCATGATTGTAGCATATAGACTACTCAATTTATCTCACATTTTGTCCTCTTACTTTCTGGGCAGATATTTGCTAAGAAGAAGAGTTATATACTTAAAAGTTGCAGAGCAGCTTATTTATTAGTATTTTACTACTTATTAAAATTAGATACAGTCAGATTTAACAGGAATACTTTGAAAAATGACATTTGAGAACACTATTTCCTGAATATAATTAAATGTGCAGTCATGTTGAATAATAAATATATCATCTTCTGTTACTGATCACTGAAAACTATATTTAGATATCATATTCTGTTTTGAATATCTAAGTCTTATTTAGTTGTGCCAGAGAATGTTATGTTTCATTTGATGATTATTTATGGAGAAAATATTCATTTACAAAATGTTCTTTAATCACAAAGTTGTAAATATTTGTTGAATCTTTTACTTTATATCTAAAGGTATATGAAAACTTAAAACCCAGGCTGGATAGTGGGCATAGCACCTGTCCCTCTAAAGTTAATTCTCATTTCTTCCACCAAGAAATCTTTCAAAATGGCCATCTGAACACCTTTCACAACTGTGTCCAAGGCTGACATGGAGACATGTACTAAGTAGCTTGTTAATTATTGATGGGATCAAGTTAAATCACCCCTTTAACAGGAAAAAAAAATCTGACTTCACAGTGAGCCAAAATTAAACACTTAATGTTTTATTCAGTTTTCACATTGTTCACTAATATTAATTTTATTTTTTAATTTTTATTTATTTAATTTTTTTTGGCAGAACTGGGGATTGAACTCAGGCCCTTGCGCTTGCCAGGCAAACACTTAATCTACTGAGCCATCTGCCCGGCCCCAACTAATATTAATTTTAAATAATTATTTCTCACATTCTATATACTCTTACAGTGAGAACTTATTTTCAGTTCTGTACTTCAAGTGTACCTTGCTTGACTTTTTTAAAAAAGAATTTGCAATAAATTTTACAAAGTACAATTGGAAAATGTGTTAAATAGAATACTTATTTTTAATATAAAACAATAATTTTCTATAAGTCAACAATAGCAAGCATTTCTTACTACAATTATATCCTGTAGCATAAATGTATTTGAATTAAAGAAGCCAGGAAGATAAGGCAGAGTTATTCAAAGAAAATGCTGGACCTGCCCCCGGGGCGTGCTGAGATAGCAATTGAGACTGGTGTGGTGGCGCGCACCTGTAATCCTAGAACTTGGGAGGCTGTAAACAGGCTTATCACTATGAGTTGGATCTAGTAGTGAGACCCTGAACACTCTAAAATACCTTTCCCTAAAATAAAAAAAAGAAAATATAAAAATATTTCCCTTTTATTAGTTGTTCCACGCCAAGAACTCTACCAGTGTAAAATACCATTGGTGCTTCTGAAACACAAATAAGCTAACTCTTATTCGAAATTTACCCAAATCTGTCCTTTTTTGGGGAATATTAGAAAGTGATAAGTTTTCAAATGACTTTTATTAGATATACAAGATACTGTGTTCTTTTTTTTTTTCTTTTTCCATTTAATTTTTGTGTATTTGGTTTAAGGTTTCACCTTGCAGTTCAGACTCTTAGTGATCCTCTTCTTTCAGCTTCCCCAGCACTGGGATTATAGGTGTGCACCAGCACACGCAGATCTGCAAGATAAATTATTTTTAAATTATAAGGTATTAAAGGCCGGCCAAATAGGTCAAATAGCTCAATGGACTAAGGTACCTGCAAACAGTCACAGGGGCTGGGAGTTCAGTCCCCAGGCCTGCTGTGCCTGCCCCGCCCCCGGGGTACATTGAGATGGCAACTGAGACTGGGTGTGGTGTGGTGGAACGCACCTCTAATCCCAGCTCTTGGGAGGTTCTTAGCAGGTGGATCACTACAGGTCTGATCTAGTAATGAGATCCTGTAGACCCTTCCCTAAAATACAGAAGTAAATAAATAAATAATATGGTATCAAAATTTATTTTATCAAATTTTGTCATTCTTAATTATTAATAAATATTGTAGCTCATTCTCAAATTTTCTCATATGTAAAATTTCATTTAAGCTCAATTTTTTAAAAACATATGTTTTTTGTTTTTCATTATGCTTCAAATGAAGTTTCTTATTCTTTTCTGTTGGCTTTTTTGGAAAATGAAAATCATTTTAAGACTTTTATTGAAAAAACTTAAGGCAAAAAAATAATGAACGCTTTCAAAATACTTGACATCATATGTTGTCCACCAGTAGTTGTAATTACTATCGTTGCCTGTCATTTCTGTATCTTTTCCACTGGATGAGTAAATGATGTTTGAGGTCATCATATTTTAAGTTAAACCTATGTTCACCATCCCAAACTCATATCAGAGCTTACTATTGTCTATGGGTATAAGCAGAGTTAGAGAAAAATCTTATTTTCAGTTTGTTGAGATAACAGATATCCACAATTGTCAATCTGTGACTTTAAATTTAATTGGGACAAATCTTCTCTAGAGAAGTTAATTATGGTACATCACAAAAATACCATATGGGGAAGATAGTTTCGGAGAGCATTTGAAAGATTTCAAATTCTTTCAAAGTTTAGAAATTTTTAACGTTGGCAGTCTCAAAGACATGTCTCATTTGGGGTACTTTTCTCATTGAGCACATTTAACTTGCCTAAATCTGTGCTCTTACTTCGTTTCTACTTTTCTTTATTGCTGGTCTAGGCAACAGTTTTGCTTACAGTTCTTTCTGTTGTCCCATGATAGCAAATAGCAAGTCCATAGTCCGAATCTTCTGCAGTTATTTGCCAAGATAAACCTCTCTACCCTTTTCTTCCTGTAGGATAGCATATAATGCTGTGCTTTCACCAGAAGTACAGCCAACTTAAGCTTTTATTTTTTCTTCTTCTATTTTTTTTTTCTTTTTCTTTTTCTTTTTTTCTTTTTTTCTTTTTTTTTTTTTTTTGGCGGGACCGGGGATTGAACTCAGGCCCTTGCACTTGCCAGGGAAGTGCTTATTCTACTGAGCCATCTCCCCAGCCCCCAACTTAAGCTTAAGCCTATTTAGAGTTGCTCAAATTGGTTTGCCTTTATGATCACACACCATGGCTTTGTTTTCTTTTTAAACTGTCAGCCATACACATTTTTCCAGCAGTCCTCTCTAGAGCATAGACAATACCCTCAAATAATTGTGTCAAACTACAACTCATTTTGGAATTCACATGTATATTTTTGGCCGCCCCCTTTCAAATCTGACTGGTTTTATTCTGTGATCACCTAGTATAGATAGCATCCCAGTACTGAATCCTGACTCCCAGAACTTTTTTTTTTTTTAATCATCTACTATTTTTCTGGATTCCAGGCTCCTTTTGTTCTTTAGCAAAATTAAACATCTTAGACTGACATAAAATATAACTGGGCCTCAGAATCTCCCCTCTTCTCTTTTGTTATCTATCATTTCTTTTCTCCAGCTTATTTTTATGACCTTAAACTACCTGCTCAGGATGATTTTTTAATACTAACCACAAAACTAAAAACAACTGTATAGAAGATTAAAGTTATTATAGGACAAAAACCCTACATAAGCTAGCTGAACAAAAATGTCATTTGTCTGCAGGGTGGTCAGAGCAATGAGGGATTATTTGGAATTAAATCCAGCACTTTCACAAAGAGCTGCATGTCCATCCCTTTTCATTTTCATTTTGAGATTGGGTCTAGGTAAATTGCCTAGTCTGAGCCTGAGCCTGCAGCTCTCCTGCTTCAGGCTCCACAACAGCTGGGGTTACAGATGTGCACAAAAATGTCAATTTCTGAATGAAATTCACCTTCCCAAAATTTTACTTAGAGTCTTGATTTGGGGATCTTAGGGCCCAATGAATAGAAACTCTCTTCCTTGATAAGTACCCAATTTATTTCATGATAAGCAAAAGTTCCAAGTAATTAGAGATCAAACTCTCAGTCTAGTTACCGTTAAGGCAGCTAGAATAGAGCTTTTGCATATAGTGTGCAAGAGGGGAGGGAGGTGCTTCCCAAGACAGATGGTAAGGGCGGGCCATGCTTCCTAAAATAGAGTGCCTGAAACAGATCTGGTGGTACAGCCTTCTAAGATTCACAGCTACTTCAACATTAAAAAAAAATTGTAATATCATTTTCAAAATTTATTACTGTAGAAGCAACAAGTATTATGTAAGGGAAATTTTGCATCCTTAACATCTTTGCCTGAGAAACAATTTTTGAAGTTCTTGG